CCGGGATCGAGTCCCGCATCGGGCTCCCTGCTCGGCAGGGAGTCTGCTTCTCCCTCTGACCCTCCTCCCTCTCGTGCTCTCTCTCATTCTCTCTCGCAAATAAATAAAATCTTTAAAAAAATTTAAAAAAAATGCTTTAAGTAACAAAATTTACTTAAGTTAAATGGCACCTAGTTGAGTATGTCAACACATTTTATTCGATACATTAAACATGAGCTTAATAAGTTTAATGAATATAGAAATACTTATTTTCTTTGAATTTCCATTAGATATTAAACCAAAAATCATATTTATTGAGCTTCAACTGGGGAGGCATTCAGTGTCTCACAGTTTGAAGTCTGGAAGTATGTGTTGTGCCATCATTAAGTTTTCTCATTTCCAGAAATTTCCTAATTACCATGATGACACCAACGTGGATCTCAGAATCTATGCGTGTTCTGACACTTGAGATTTTTAAGCCCAACAGTTTTGAAGTAATGGAATTCTTAAATGTACTTCTCTCTGGAAGTTCCTACATTTATTTTTCACAAATTACCTGCTCTAAGACTCAAATAAAACAAGAAAAACTTCAGAAAGTATGTGTATTCATTTGCGAGGGCTGCCATAACAAAGAGACCACAGTGAATGGCTTAAACAGTGGAGATTTATTGTCTCACATTTCTGGAAGCCAGAAGTCCCAGGTCAGGGTGTTGGGAGGGTTGGCTCCTTCTGAGGCCATGCGGGAGAATCTGTTCCTCGAGCCTTGGTGTGTTGGTGGCCGTCTTTGGCATCCCCCGATCATTACCCACATCTCCGCATGACGTCCTCCCTGAATGCATGTCTGTGCTCAGCTCTCCCTGTCTCCAGGACACCTGTTATATTGGATTAGAGCCCAGCCTAATAACCGCATCTTTAATTTTCTTACCTCCTGTAAAAACCCTGTGTCCAAATAAGCTCACATTATGAGGTACTGGGGCTTAGGACTTCATCACATAAATTTTGGAGAAAAATAACATTCAGCTCACAACAGTGTGCCGCATACGGTGTTTAAAGCAACAAAATTAAACAGTTACTATTGTTAATCTCATTTTACAGATGATGAAATGTATTCTATTTATTTACTTTTAAATACCTTTCCCGTTAGCCTCAGATGCTTATAGATTTTGACCACAGCATTTCAGACCAGTGTGTCTACACTCTATATAATTACCTTTAAATCTATTCAATATGTCATAACTCATAGTTCATTTTCATAGCCTACAATCTAGTTTTAATAATAAGTGCAGTAATAATAATGGGAAATGTTTGTTAGGTGCTTATAAATGCCAGTTGCTGTGTAATGCAGTTTACAAAATCCTAGGGCATTTAATGCTCCAGACAACTGTGTGAAGTAGAAACGGGTATTACTCTCATTTCACAGCTGAGGAAACCACCACCTGAAAATCAGTGACTCGTCTGGCACACAGCCCCATCACCAACCTCCTGATCCCTCCTGATCAGGATTCGCCTTGTCATTTTGTGGTGCATTTGGGCTAATATTTAGTGGGATACTTATCTGTTTGTGAGGGTCTTTTGTAACTCATCAGCTGCTCTCTGTTTGACATTTTGGGGAGATCACTCAGTGATAACTGGAAGTCCTTCACTGCGGAGATGTCCTCATTTTAACCTTTGCTTTTATCCATGATCATGAATTACCTCTTTTTTTACAATACAAGGATGCTCTGTGGAACACAGAACACATACTTTTCTGTTTTGATGACTGCCCATCGGGAGTCCTAAGGTAACTTTCTAAGTAAAGTTGTCATCAAGGAACTCTTCATTCTAATCTATCTCTAAAGTGTAGTGTCTTTTGAAATTAAATTAAAAAAAAAATAACGTTTTTGATCCAAGACTGCAAGCCAGAGTTCCTACAATAAGGCCTATGCTCTCTAGGA